CCTGGCACCCCAAACTTACCTACCACACCCTCTCTAAAAGTTTCTCCTACTTTAGCATTCAGGTCCCCTACCACAATTACTCTCTCACTTGGTTCAAAGGCTCCTATACATTCACTTAACATCTCCCAAAATCTCTCTCTCTCCTCTGCATTCCTCTCTTCTCCAGGTGCATACACGCTTATTATGACCCACTTCTCGCATCCAACCTTTACTTTAATCCACATAATTCTTGAATTTACACATTCATATTCTCTTTTCTCCTTCCATAACTGATCATTTAACATTACTGCTACCCCTTCTTTTGCTCTAACTCTCTCAGATACTCCAGATTTAATCCCATTTATTTCCCCCCACTAAAACTCTCCTACCCCCTTCAGCTTTGTTTCGCTTAGAGCCAGGACATCCAACTTCTTTTCATTCATAACATCAGCAATCATCTGTTTCTTGTCATCCGCACTACATCCACGCACATTTAAGCATCCCAGTTTTATAAAGTTTTTCTTCTTCTCTTTTTTAGTAAATGTATACAGGAGAAGGGGTTACTAGCCCATTGCTAGTGCTCTCTTCACTTTGCTCTTCTCTGTTATTTTAAACTTCAGTCACTTACACAACCTTCTAAACTGCCCCACCAACTCGTTACTTCTCTTCAGAATTTCTGAATCTTTAAATAGCACTGTCATCTACAAACAGCACTTGTAACAACTGCTACTTTACATCAAATTAGTTCATGCTAGCATTCACTTCACAGAAAATATTCCCCATTTATCATACATCCAGTACCTTGCTCTCCTCATAATGGAATGGGTGGCATTTGGCTGGAGCTTCCAACCACATGCCACCATTCTATAAATACACAACACTTTTCATATCTATTATTACTTTTCAAAATACACAATTTTTTTTTTTAACACACCAGCTGCCTTCCACTGAGACAGGGTGACTCAAAAAAGAAGAAAACTATAAAGTTTTTTTAATACATTGGCTGTCTTCCACTAAGGAAGGGTGGCCCAAAAAAAAGAAACACTTTCACCATCATTCAGACATAATCAGTCTTTGCAGAGGTGCTCCAATACAATAGTTTAGATGTCACTCCAAACGGCCAATAACACAAACCCTCTTTTAAATTGCTGGCACGTACTTCACACCTCCAGACTAAAGTCTGCAAAACATTTTCCTGATTTTTTTTTCAACAATTTGGCCGTCTCCCACCGAGGCAGGGTGACCCAAAAATGAAAGAAAATCCCCAAAAAGAATACTTTCATCATCATTCAACACTTTCACCTCACTCACACATAATCACTGTTTTTGCAGAATCCCAAAATACAACTTTTAAAATATAACAATATATCCCACCAAACTGCCAATATCCCAAACCCCCCCTTCAGATGCAGGCATTATACTTCCCTTTTTCCAGGACTAAAGCCCGGTTATATAAAAAAAACCTTTTCCCCCTGAATCCCTTCACTAAATATTACCCGCTCACACTCCAACACTCGCAGGTCCAAATACCATTTGTTTTCATTCACTCCTTTTAACACCCACCATGCTTGCTGGAAGTCCAAAACCCCCCCCCACACCTCCCCCTTTTTTACCCCCTCCCTGAACCTTTTCGGGGACGACCCCTAACCCCCCCTTTTCCTTCCCCACAGTTTTATAGCTCTCCATGTCATTCTACTTTGATCCATTCCTCTAAATGACCAAACCACCCCCAACAACCTCTTCAGCCCAACACTCACCAGTCCCAAAAACCATCATCCCTTTCACTCCTTCAACACACCCATTACCGCTGCTGTCCAAGCCCCTCACACACAAAACTTTTTTTCCCCCCCCTCCCTCCACCCTTTTCCTAGGATGACCCCTACCCCCCTCCCTCCATACAATTTAAAAAACCCCCCCAAATCATCCACTTTGCCCACCTCTCTAAATGACCAAACCACCCACAACCCATCTTTACCCCCTGAATAAAACTTTTAGTAAACCCAACCCTCCCAATTTCCCACACTAAAAAGAATTCTCTGCCATTTACTCACACATGCCCTTAACTGACACCCCTACTGCCTCCAGCTTTACAACCCAGTTTCACACCCCTATAAGTGTTGGGACCACATATTCTCAACTTCCCTTTTTTGCCTCCATGGATAATGTTTTTTTTTTGTCTCTACAGGTACCTCAAATTTCCCGGTAGAGGCTGTAGACAGGAACTGCCCCCGGGGAAAAACTACTGCCTCCAGTGAGTGTAAAACGGAAGCCTGTAATTTTTTTACATGATATAGGATTGCGGGTCTTTTTCCCGTCTCATAAAACCAAGATTTCAGGTACATCTTGCTACTTCTACTTGCACTTAGATCACACTACACTTGCATATACAAGCATATATATACACACCCCTCTGGGGTTTTTTTTTTTATTTTCTTTCTAGTTCTTGACTTGTTTTTTTCCTCTTATTTTTCCCTGGGGAAGTGGGAAAAGAATTTTTTCCCCCGTAAGCCATGGTGGGCGCAAGAGGCGACTAAAATGCCAGGAGCTAAGCGGCTAGTAACCCCTTCTCCTGTATACATTATTAAATTTAAAAAAAGAAACTTTTGTTTTTCTTTTTGGGCCACCCTGCCTCAGTAGGATACGGCTGGTTTGTTGAAAAGGAAGAATTAAGAAGATACCTCAATGCACCACTCACCTTTATTTTTCCTTCATCAATTCTATGGTTAACCTCATCCTTCATAAACCCATCTGCTGACAAGGTCTACTCCCAAATATCTGAACACATTCACTTCTTCCCTACTCCCTCCCTCCAATGTGATATCCAATCCTTCTTTACCTAACTCATTTGATACCCTTATCACCTTACTCTTATTCCCCTATAGTTTTTATAATTTCTTTTGTTCCCCTTCCCTTCATGTAAAGGAATTATACATGCTCTCTGCCAATCCCTAGGTACCTTCCCATCTTTCATACACTTACTGAACAAATGTACCAACCACTCCAAAACTATATCCCCCCTGCTTTTAACATTTCTGTCATGATCCCATCAGTTCCAGTTGCTTTACCCCCTTTCATTCTACGTAATGCCTCACACACCTCCCCTTTACTCACATCTGGCACTTCTTCACTCCTAAAAAATGTTATACCTCCCTGGTCAATGCATGAAATTACTGCGTCCTTCTCTTCATCAACATTTAACAGTTTCTTTTTACATTAAGTAATTTTTAGAGAAGGTGTTACTAGCCCCTTGCTCCCAGCATTTTAGTCACCTTTTACAACATGCATGGCTCACAGAGGAAAGAATACATAAATATAGACAGTTGATTTCCTTATCTAACAACTATATTACTCATATGGGTATGACAAAAGCATTTTTATTTCCCAAGAACCAAAACCATTCAGAAGTAAGTATTAATTACATTTTTCTACTTGGATAGCACTTTTATTTTTTTAACACACCGACTGTCTCCCACAAAGGCAGGGTGACCCGAAAAAGAAGAAACACTTTTGTAAAGCTTCTCCTTCTTACGTTTAGTAATTATAAGAGAGAAGGGGTTACCAGACCCCTCGCTCCTAGGAATTTAATCGCCTCTTACAACATGCACTGTTTACGGAGGAAGGATTTTTCACTTCCCCATGGTGAATTGGTAAGCATATATATACTAAATTGTAAAACAAAAGCCTGTAATTATTTTACATGATGGTAGGATTGCTGGTGTCTTTTTTCTGTCTCATAAACATGCAAGATTTCAGCTACGTCTTGCTACTTCTACTCACAATTAGGTCTCCATGGGGAAGTGGAACAGAATTCTTCCTCCATAAGCCATGTGTGTTGTAAGAAGCGACTAAAATGCCGGGAGCAAGGGGCTAGTAACCCCTTCTCCTGTATAAATTACTAAATTTGAAAAAAGAAACTTTTTGTTTTTCTTTTTGGGCCACCCTGCCTTGGTGGGATATGGCTGGTTTGTTGAAAGAAGAAAAGAAGAATATATACTAAATGCCTAGGTAGTAGGTTGGTAGACAGCAACCACCCAGGGAGGTACTACCGTCCTGCCAAGTGAGTGTAAAATGGAAACCTGTAATTGTTTTACATGATGGTAGGATTGCTGGTGTCTTTTTTGTCTCATAAACATGCAAGATTACAGGTACGTCTTGCTACTTCTACTTACACTTAGGTCACACTACACATACATGTACAAGCATATATATACACACACCCCTCTGGATTTTCTTCTATTTTCTTTCTAGTTCTTGTTCTTGTTTATTTCCTCTTATCTCCATGGGGAAGTGAAACAGTATTCTTCCTCCGTAAGCCATGCGTGTTGTAAGAGGTGACTAAAATGCCGGGAGCAAGGGGCTAGTAACCCCTTCTCCTGTATAAATTACTAAATTTAAAAAGAGAAGCTTTCACTTCTCTTTTTGGGCCACCCTGCCTCGGTGGGATATGGCCGGTTTGTTAGAAATGATCCAATTTCTGCTATGAACGATCTGTCAAAGAGTACTGCAATGGCTCTGAAACTTGACCTCCTGTGTGGAAGTCTGTCATTCTACCAACCACACCTAGAACTGTGCAAATATCATAATGTAAGCTTGTTTTCCTACCAATAATTACTGTATACAAGAGTTTTAGGTAATGGTAGGCACTAGACACCACACATCACACTTTATACAATACCCCCTTGTCACTCTAGTGATCTCGTATTACATTCAAGGGGGATATGGGGAGGGGTACTAAACACATAAGGGTCATCTAGTACCTAGGGTAACAGCAAGCAACCAGGTTTAATCCAAGGAAAGAGAAGATAGGTCCAATTCCTTGAATCAAAAACCCCCTCACTGGGATTAAGGCACCTTCCAAGAGGAAGAGACCTGGTTAACTCAGTTCATACCCAATATTATTATCACCAACTGCACACTGAAATTTCAGTATGTATTTTTAACATGTACTTCCATAGTATACATAATGTACATTATTATACCCTTTTACTTACACACAGTAACACAAGAAAAGCTTTTCCTACCTTTGTTTAGTGTCCTTTTCATTTTGATATTCCAGCAGAATTGTCTTCATATCACTCTCCAAATATTCTAAGTGTTTACTGAGGTCCACTTTTTCCTCCACACTATTCACATCACTCACTTTGGGTTTTACCTCTACCACCTCTGTCACTGGGGTGGAGACACCAGTTGAGATTTCCTCCACTTTAACCTTATTGGGTGCAGGGGAAGGAGGGGGATTTAGGATTGGTGGCTCCTCCTCATCTTCGCTAAATGCAGCATCATCCTCACCTATATGGTTACTGTTATTCACATCATTATCACTATTCACTGTCGAGGATCCAAAGTCAAGACCAGTTTCTACCATGAGGTCCATTCTAGTAACAGAAGCTGAAGATACTGGAGCAACGAAGTCCTCAGGTTTTACATCCCCAGGGACTGAGTTTGAACAGAATTCAGGGAATGTATCACGAATGAGTTTCCGTAGTTCTGCATCCATGTGACGGTTGTCAAAAAGAGGATCGAGGGACTGAACTACTCTCTTCTCCAGAATCTGCCGAAGGGAATTGTGCACTCCTAATCGAACCTTGTCCGCCAAAGGAGGATGGAAGTTTGGAATTATCTGTAAAGATCATATAAAGAATGATTATTTTTTCTTTGGATAATATAATTATTAGCAGGAGACTAGCTGATATATTTTAGGTAGCAAAGCAGAAGGGGCTGAGAACAGAAAATAACAGAGCAATACTTGGTGAAGAACAATAACTGTTCTTTTCATGATACTGTATTATGCAAATGGGAAAAATTGCAAGACCATTTAAAAGATACAAAACAAATGAAAGCAAAATCCACATAAACAAGAGGAAAAATATCTTTATGCGGAATGCAAGAAGACAAATGGGCTATAGTTAAGTCTAAAATACTCTAGAGCAATGACATATTATTGAGCACAAAGAAATATTAATTCTAGGAAAAAAAAAAAAAGACAGTAAAAGCAAACAAAAAAAAAAAAAGGTAAAAAAGGCAAGGTGAAAACAGAAACAAATACATTATGTTCTACCCACTGTTCTATAATAAAAACAAACAGGAAAAGCTTCTGCTACTGCTGTTCCAATTCCTTTAACAAGAGAACACTAAAATCTTACCCTACAGATAAAGTCCAGAAGGGAGGTTGTAAGAACCGGGTGTGGCCGCATGGAGTGGTACATCACTAGGATGCCAGGCTCTGCAGAAATATTGAAAATCAATATACATTTTTAATTAAAATCATTAAAATAGATAAATAAAAGACACTTCAAAAAGTTATTTTAGTTGCATCATTTTTATCATGTCACCAATGTATGCTTATACTGTTTAAGATGGAACAATATAAAAAAGTACTGGTATATAAATGTGCAGTTATATGTATGAATGTATGTATATGTATGAATGCATGCATGTTTATGTATGCATGAATGTATGTATATGTATGTATATATGTATGCATGCATGTATATGTATGCATGCATGTATATGTATGCATGCATGCATGTATATGTATGCATGCATGTATATGTATGCATGCATGTATGTATATGTATGCCTGCATGTATGTATATGTATGCATGTGTGTATATGTATGCATGTGTATGTATGTATGCATGCATGCATGTATATGTATGCATGCATGCATGTATATGTATGCATGCATGCATGTATATGTATGCATATGTATGCATGCATGTATGTATATGCATGTTTTTTTTTTTAACAATAAAGCTGTATCCTACTGAGGCAGGGTGTCAAAAAAAAAAAAAATGAAAGTTTCTCTTTTTATATTTAGGGGTTACTAGCCCCTTGCTCCCTGTATATGTATATACAAGTGCAAGAAAATACAATACTACAAGACTAAAAACTAATAAGAAATGTACAGAAAACTCAAGATGCATACATATCAAATGTAACTAAAAGTTTGTGAAATTTACTTGTCATCTCATGCATTCTTTTTTTTTTTTTTTTCAACAAGTCGGCCGTTTCCCACCGAGGCAGGGTGACCCAAAAAAAAGAAAGAAAATCCCCAAAAAGAAAATACTTTCATCATCATTCAACACTTTCACCACACTCGCACATTATCACTTTTTGCAGAGGTGCTCAGAATACAACAGTCCAGAAGCATATGCATTCACAAAACAGAAAAGATAAAAAATTCAGAGTACAAAATGTCTTCCTGATGTCTGTTTCTACTTATATGTGTGGAGTAACCTATTTTAAATTCCAGTTAAAGTCATTTAATTAAAAATTAACCCTGAAACTGGACTGGGTACATTTAAGTAAACTATAGATCACCATGCTCTGGAGGAAGATAGCTCAAGTTTAAAAACTATTATTACTTTAAGAAATGCCAGCAGACATTCTGCTAATGATGTGAGTGTTGAGAGATTAGATGGGAAGTACAGTGCCTGCACTCTAAAGGAAGGGTTTGGGATACTTGTAGTTTAGAGTGACATCTAAATGGTCGTATTATCTTTAAACCTCTGGCAAGACACTGATAGTGTGAATGATGATAGTGTTTCTTTTTTGGGTCACCCTGCCTCAACAGGAGACAGCCAGTATGTTATTTCTCAATTAGATGCATTGTTACAAAGATAGGTTGATATTGTTTAATGAAACTAAAGGAGTTGGCACAGGATACACTTAATACAGTATATTCCTGCATCTCAAAAAATTAATGCTATAAATTATATATCTGTTCTTTTACAGTATGCAAAAGGGTCATACTCACCAATATTCATGATATTGTCTGTTTCAGTGTTGTAAAGAAGCCAATCATAAAAAAGTGCCAGCTTTGAATTGGCTGTTGCAACAGGAGATGTACAAGATGAGAGTAGCCAGCCAATCACAGCCCAACGTGGAATGATATCTGAACATAAGACTTCGTTGGATGGGTGGATACAGCCAATAATGAAACGAATGAGGTCACATCGTAGCGTCTGACTCTCTGGTGTATTCAGGTACTGATAAAAACAAATCTCTTATTGAACACAATCACAGTAATGGTACATGTGAATAAAATATAACCAAAGTATTTCATGAAAATTTTTATTATCTTGTCTTCCCAGCAAATAGATTACAACACACTGAACTCAAAAATGTATTAAGCTATTTAAACAAATGTGAATATTCTTGTTTCAAAGCCTTCATAATTTTTTTTTATCCTACCATCATGCTACTAACAGAGCTATAATTTGACTATAATGCCTTTCCCATGAAAAGGTTCATGACAAAGCGTAACTCCACAAAAACATAACCCCAGGGAACAAATGAATTTGCTTTGCTGGTCGACACACCAAAGTTTTTAAGTCTTGGCAAAAAGACTAACTCCTTATTGCTGTTACTTAAAACTAAAAACAAGGTTAAAAGAAATTTAAATCAATTTCTAATCTACACACCTGTCTCTGGAACCATTCTTGATATCTCTTTTGCATACCAAATTTTACATCTGTACATAAGAAGACTATTTTTTTCTCCATCTCTGGAGTTAATCTCACTACAAAGAATCTTCGTGATGTTCTTGTTTGAAGGAGCTGAAGAATACCTGTAAACAAGTTTTGCAATAGATTAACAAGAGCAAAAATTAAAGATTTCTTTTTACAATTTATTAGGAGAAAGCTAAACCTACATAAAATTAACCAGCTATTTTATTTATTTTGAAACCATACAGTATTCATTAAAGGATGGAATGAATTGCAATATCTCAACTAAATCCTGCCATTATTAGTGATGCCAACAGGCAATACACATGCACATATATGAAAATTACAGAAAATACATATCCATCTATGTTACCAGCCAAATATCACACAATCAAATGACATATCACATCCTGTCATAAGTGTCCAAAGGAAAAAAACAAAATTTATTACTGAAAGTGTATAAACTAAGGGAGGAGGAAGTTAGGGTGAGATGTAAGCAACTAATGGCAGAAAGGTGGGCTGGTGCAAGAATGAGTAGTGGGGGGGTTGAAGAGGGTTGGAATTGTTTTGAAAATGCAGTATCAGAATGTGGGGCATATCAGACATAGACAGGGATATAAGCCACAGTGCCATGTCTTCCTTTGCAGATGCCACCTGAATCTACATGACAGTGTCCTCCACTGAAGACACTGCAAGGCTCCAGGCAGACATCAACCAAATCTTTAAATGGGCTGCAGAAAAATACATGAAGTTCAACGATGAGAAATTTCAATTACTCCGATATGGTAAATGTGAGGAAATTAAAATTTCATCGGAGTATAAAACAAATTCCAACCACACAATAGAGCGAAAAACTAACATCAAAGACCTGGGCGTGATCATGTCGGAAGATCTCACCTTTAAGGACCATAACATGGTATCAACAGCATCTGCTAGAAAAATGACAGGATGGATAATGAGAACCTTCAAAACTAGGGATGCCAAGCCCATGATGACACTCTTCAGGTTGCTTTTTCTATCCAGGCTGGAATATTGCTGCACACTAACAGCACCTTTCAAGGCAGGTGAAATTGCTGACCTAGAAAATGTACAGAGAACCTTCACAGCACGCATAACTGAGATAAAACACCTCAATTACTGGGAATGACTGAAGTTCCTGAACATGTACTCCCTGGAATGCAGGCGGGAGAGATACATGATTATATACACCTGGAAAATCCTAGAGGGATTAGTACCAAACTTACACACAAAAATCACTCCCAACGAAAGCAAAAGACTCAGCAGATGATGCAACATCCCCCCAATGAAAAGCAGGATGCCACTAGCATGGTAAGAGACAACACTATAAGTGTCAGGGGCCCAAGACTGTTCAACCGCCTCCCAGCATACATAAGGCGGATTACCGATAGACCCCTGGCTGTCTTCAAGCAGCACTGAACAGGTACCTAAAGTTTGTACTTGACCAGCCAGGCTGTGGTTCGTACGTTGGATTGCGTGCGGCCAGCTGTAACAGCCTGGTTGATCATGCCCTGATCCACCATGAGGCCTGGTCACAGACCGGGCCGCTGGAGCATTGACCCCTGGAACTCTCTCCAGAAAATAGGAGGGTGGGTGCAGGAGGAAAGAGGAGTGATTGGTGGAATGATGAAGTAAAGGGTGTGATAAAAGAGAAAAAGGTAGCTTATGAGAGGTTTTTACAAAGCAGAAGTGTTATAAGAAGAGCAGAATATATGGAGAGTAAAACAAAGGTGAAGAGAGTGGTGAGAGAGTGCAAAAGGAGCGAGATAAACAAGTTAAGAAAGCCTAGGGAATGAATGGATTTGTCAGTTAAAAACAGAGTAGAGGAGTTAGTAGATGGGGAGCTGGAGGTACAGTGGACCCTCAGGTAACGATTTTAATCCGTTCCAGAGCTTGTCCTTAACTGATTTCATAGTTAGCCGAATTAATTTTCCCCATAAGAAATAATGGAAATCCAATTAATCCGTTCCAGACACCCAAAAGCATTAAAAAAATTTAATTTTTTTTTACATTTCCCTACACAGACAACAATGAGACATGCAGAATAAATACATAAATAAATACTAAAATGACACTTACCTTTATTGAAGAGTACTGATGAGTGATGAGACACTGTTTTTCTTGAACACTCTGGGATTTTCAGAGTGATACATGAGTAAAGGCTTCACTTTGCAATCCCCACTAGCATTACAACAAAACATGAGAGTTAGCCTGTCTTTCATAGGCTTGTGTCCTGGGAGTGCCTTTTCCTCCTGAGTAATTTAGGTCCTGTTTGGCATTTTCTTCCAGAACAGGCCTGTTTTGTCACAACTGAACACTTGTTGGGGTTGGAATTTTTCAGCTTCACCATGCCTTATCACACTGTGTATGCCACTACGATTCTTAAATCTCTCAAACCAACCTTTGCTGGCCTTAAATTCACCAATATGAGCACTAGTTCCAGGCATTTCTTCCTATTCACCTAGGTGTTAGTCGACTGGTGTGGGTTGCATCCTGGGGGACAAGATTAACCCTTTCAGGGTCCGTCCCGTAGATCTATGGCTTTGCGTTCAGTGTCCAAACCGTAGATCTACGTCATGAGCTCAGCTCACTCTGATAAACTGTGAGTGGTACACTTGGGCCTAGATATGAGAGAATACATCTATGTGGTATGTGTGCACCACATAAAACAAATCCTGCAGCACACTGTGTATAATGAGAGAAAAAAAAACTGAAACCAAGATTTTCGATTAAAACAGCAACTTTGCAGTGTTTTTTCGTATGTTTTTTATAGTTGTATTTGCAATTTCTTGGTCTCATTTGATAGAATGGAAGACATATTACAGAAATAGGGATGATTTTGATTGGTTTTAGCACCGGAAATGGCTTGAAACTGAGCTCAAAGTAGCGGAAATGTTAAATTTTTGTCGATGTTCAAGAGTAAACAAACGACCTCACACGTCTAATACACGCCAGCTGGTGGATCTAATACACATTCACAAATATGTTGATGATATTTATACAATTATTACAATATTGCAATATTACAATGACACACTGACTTTCTTGGGTTATCCTGAGTGGCTAACCCTCTGGGGTTAACTGTTTCTCAGTAATTGTTTCTCGTTAAGCCACACCAACAACAAGTCTCTCCACATCTTTGAGTAGTACAGCTGACGGTGGTGCAGCAGCAGCTGGTGGTGGTGCAGCAATAGCTGATGGTGGTGCAGCAGCAGCTGACCGTGGTACAGCAGCAGCTGACAGTGGTGCCGCAGCAGCTGATGGAGGTGCAGAACTGACGGTGGTGCAGCAGCAGCTGATGGAGGTGCAGAACTGATGGTGGTGCAGCAGCAGCTGACCGTGGTACAGCAGCAGCTGATGGAGGTGCAGCAGCAGCTGATAGTGGTGCAGCAGCAGCTGACAGTAGTGCAGTACCAGCAGCAGCTGACTGTGGTACAGCAGCAGCTGACAGTGGTGCAGCAGCAGCTGATGGTGGTGCAGCAGCAGCTGATGGTGGTGCAGCAGCAGCTGACGGTGGTGCAGCGATCTCTGTTTTGTAAGCATATCTGCACCATTCACAACAACAGCTTCCTTGATTACCTTTTCCTTGGCCAAGATAGTAGCGATGGTTGAATGGGGTTTGTTATATAACCTGGCCAACTTGGAGACACACACCCCACTTTTGTATTTTGCGATGATCTCTTTCTTCAATTCAATAGTATTTCTTACCCTCTTTACCACAGGGCTGGCACTAGAAGCTTTCTTTGGGCCCATGGTGGCTTATTTAGTAGTTACAAGCACTAAAAACAATGGAATAATACAAAATGTATCTCATGTATGCATGGAACCATTTGCACTGGCTTGTAAATATTTAATGGCACACTGCCTGTACATAGTGGCCAGGCAGCCGCAGGCGGCACAGGCGTGGGGACGTGTTCAGGACAGATGTCCTTAACTGAGTTTTTCATCGTTGGCTGAGACAATATTTTTACGCAAAGACCCACTGATATCCAATTTTATCACTATCCGATGGCATCGTTACCTGAGGGTCCACTGTATTGGGTAGATGACAGGAATATTTTGAGGAACTTTTAAATGTCAATGAACAAAGGGAGGCGGTAATTTCATGCACTGGCCAGGGAGGTATAACATCTTTTAGGTTTAGGAGTGAAGAAGAGCAGGATATGAGTGTGGGGGAGGTGCATGAGGCATTATGTAGAATGAAAGGGGGTAAAGCACCTGAAACTGACAGGAACATGACAGAAATGTTAAAAGCAGGGGGGAAGGAATATAGTGTTAGTGTGGTTGGTATTTCTGTTTAATAAATGTATGAAAGAGGGAAAGGTACCTAGGGATTGGCAGAGAGTATGTATAGTTCCATTATATAAAGGGAAAGGGGACAAAAGAGACTGTAAAAATTATAGGGGAATAAGTTTACTGAGTATACCAGGAAAAGTGTACGGTAGGGTTATTACTGAAAGAATTAGAGGTAAGACAGGGAGTGGGACTGCAGAGGAGCAAGGAGGCTTTAGAGTGGGTAGGGGATGTGTAGATCAAGTGTTTACAATGAAGCATATATGTGAACAGTATTAGATAAAGGTAGGGAAGTTTTTATTGCATTCATTGATTTAGAAAAGGCATATGACAGAGTGGATAGGGGAGCAATGTGGCAGATGTTGCAAGTATATAGAACAGGTAGTAAGCTACTAAATGCTGTAAAGAGTTTTTATGAGGATAGTGAGGCTCAGATTAGGATGTGTAGAAGAGAAGGAGATTACTTCCCAGTAAAAGTAGGTCTTAGACAAGGATGTGTAATGTCACCATGGTTGTTTAATGAGGCTGTAAAAGAAGTAAATGCTAGGGTGTTGAGGAGAGGGGGTGGGATTAAATTATGGGGAATCAAATACAAAATGGGAATTGACACAGTTACTTTTTGCTGATGATACTGTGCTTATGGGAGATTCTAAAGAAAAGTTGCAAAGGTTAGCGGACGAGTTTGGGAGGGTGTGTAAAGGTAGAAAGTTGAAAGTGAACATAGATATGAGTAAGGTGATGAGGATATCAAATGATTTAGATAAAGAAAAACTGGATATTACATTGGAGAGAGGGAGTATGGAAGAAGTGAATGCTTTCAGATATTTGGGAGTTAACATGTCAGTGGATGGGTTTATGAAGGATGAAGTTAACCATAGAACTGATGAAGGAAAAAAGGTGAGTGGTGCGTTGAGGTATATGTGGAGTCAAAAAACGTTATCTATGGAGGCAAAGAAGGGGATGTATGAAAGTACAGTGCTACCAACTCTCTTATATGGGTGTGAAGTTTGGGTTGTAAATGCTGCAGTGAGGAGGCAGCTGGAGGCAGTGGAGATGTCCTGTCTAAGGGCAATGTGTTGTGTAAATATTATGCAGAAACTTCAGAGTGTGGAGATTAGGAGAAGGTGTGGAGCTAATAAAAGTATTAGTCAGAAGGCTGAAGAGGGGTTGTTGAGGTTATTTGGTCATTTAGAGAGAATGGATCAAAGTAGAATGACATGGAGAGCGTATAAATCTGTAGGAGGGATTTGGGATATTGGCAGTTTGGAAGAGGTATGTTATATATCTTTATGTATGCTTCTAAACTGTTGTAGCTGGGTGCCTCTGCAAAGACAGTGATTATATATGAGTGAGGTTAAAGTGTTGAATGATGATGAAAGTATTTTCTTTTTGGGGATTTTCTTTCTTTTTGGGGATTTTCTTTCTTTTTGGGTCACCCTGCCTCGGTGGGAGACGGCCGACTTGTTGAAAAAAAAAAAAATTAGCATTATGAACGTATGAGCGGCCCAGGTGGACATGTCTGGTATGGACAATTTCTGAGCGAAGGTATGAAACCTGGGGTAAAATTTCACCCAAAAAAGTGGTCGAAATCCGAACTGTATGGTATCCACACCTGAAGAAATCCGGGGTTCCACTGTATATTATGTAAAATAAGAACAATTTGGCAAAAAGGGTTACATTCTTGACACCTCCAAAAAATGCCAACACACTTTTTTTTTAAATACAGTATCACAATACACTAAAAATAACAAATTATATCTTATCTTACAATGCAGTAGATAATGACTGTTGATACAGAGGCATGTGGAGGGGATTGATGTTTCCATGCTGGGCTGATTTGTATGCAGAGGTGTTTACCAACCCAAAACTAGGTGCATGTGTCAACGTCATAAAAACAAGAGCAACATTTTATGCATGAAAGCCACATTTTCTTACCAAATTGTACAAAACACATAGGAACTCATCATATTTACACTAAACATATGTGAATTAAAGATTAATGAATTTGAGGAAGTAATAACCAAGAAAAATGGGATGCTAAGAGCTACCACAGCTTGAGCCAAGTAAGTCTTGCTCCCAGGGGTGTGGTAGGACGCATCCAGCAGTGAAATGTATATGATAGATCAATGTGCATATACAGCCTCTCCTCACTTAGTGACGTACTCATTTACCGATGACTCGGACTTCCAACAGGCTCTCTGACCAGTATGCATACCTAAATAATGTATATTAGAGGTGATTTCTTCTATTCTGATTACAATATACAGTACATTACTGTATAAACATTTAAAAATATACCAGGAATGCTATAAATGGTGCAAAGGTGACATTAAAAACAATATCAAAGTTGACTGACACAAACCCACTACCATTATGGTATGCTCCTCACTTAGCAACGAATTTGTTTACTGACATGGTCTTAGAAACAGAACTCCGTCGTTAAGTGAGGAGAAGCTGTACTGTGGTGGCCCTTTAAACTCCCAACACAAACGATTTTGTCATGGATGACCTCAGTGAAGTCCACTACAGTGCTTTATTGTTTAATAACTTTTTCAAACTTTTAACAATCTCCAATATGTTCAACAACTGCAGCTGAGTAGGTGCATGACTTAAATGCACAGGAATGTATAATGGGCATAATTATAATAATGTACAAGTCTGGGTTACTAACCCTCTAGATTAATAATCAAATAAAATCACCAGTGTCTTTTGCTGAACTCCTGAGTATTTTTATATTAATGCATTAAATATTTTCTTCAAGCATTTTAGGAAAGTGCTTCATAGAAATTAATTACTCAAAATATTTTTTAGATAAGAAATATATTTAGTGGCTAGCTTTTGCTCAGTGAGAGGCTCTGAGGACTGTGGGAAGCAACACCTGTGACTCACAAAGCAGATAGGAAAAATCTACAGTTTACTACCCAAATTCCACGTTACTTTTTTTTTTTTATTTACGAAGTGTAGTATCAACAGTTCCTTTTATGAAAGGACCATTGAAATTTTTAAACCTTTATGCCTTTGGGTAAGTACAGCTTCAAAATGGAGTTAAAAAAAAGTAAAAAAAAATTTCAGTGTGGTAATGCAACCCAGAAAATGTATTACAGCAACATCTTTGTGTTCCAAGTTCATGTAATAAGTAAACAACACCAAACCACTAACACTGAACATGACAACACTAGGAAAGGGCTCAGTGTGCAGTGTGGTTCACAGAGACCAAATCTGACCTTCAGATGCAAATTAATTTTCAAGAAAAATACTAAAGACCATCAAGTCAACTGATATGCAAGTTGCATAAAAAGCTCATGGGCTACTAGATGTGTCCTTAGGCAGACCAGATCTGGGCTTGTGATGAGGATGGGGAAACAGGTTCGTGTATTGATGGTCCTTCGATATTTCTCCCAAAAACAATTTTATATCTTAAGGTGAGAGTTGATCTCAATGAACCACAACACACACTGAGCCTTCTCCCATGGTGTTATCATCAATATAAGTGGTTCACTGTCATTCATTATCTCAAGTCACCTGAAAGACAAAAGAATGTTGCTGTAATAAACTTAATGAGTTGCTTCATTATATGTAAAAAAAATGGCATTATATTATGATGCCATTTTTTACACTGTACTTACTCAAAGTGAACATCATGTATTACCTGGTACAATCTGACAAAACATTGAATTTCTAACCAATTTGAGGTTAGAAAGGATAAAACAGGTCTTAAAAAATTTGTTATTACCCTCAATACATGCTGGTTCAGCATTTTAGGTTGGTTATATATCTGTATTTCAAACCAAAAGACTAACTGTTTAGGACAGGACACACTATTTGATGTTCACAATTGAAAGGGTTAATGGACAAGCATGAAAAAATATTGCTAACACTAAAAATAAATTATACATGTTAAGAATGCTGTGTATAATATTCTTACAATATCTTTTAAAAAATATAAGGTGGTACCTTGGGATACGAACAGCTCAAAACTCGAACAATTATGTAAGTGTATTTATGAAAGTGCTTTTGTAAGTGTATTTTTGGGGGTCTGAAACGGATTAAACTAATTTACATTATTCCTTATGGGAACAAATTCGTTCGGTATCGGCACTCAAACAGCCTACTGGAACGAATTAAGTTCATATCCCGAGGTACCACTGTAAAGTATCTTCCCCACTCACATGCATACACACAGAATATTAAATCTTTAAAGAACAAAAAACCACATACCAGTAAAACTTGGGCACAAAGAGGTGGGATTATGGATCAAGTCTCTCCAAAACGCTTCAATCTCCTGTATTTTTGCAATATTCTGTAGGAGCCGTACTAAGTCTCGCCCAATCATTAAACAATCCTGAATTTGACAGAAAAAGTTAATAATTAAAACAGAAGAATAAGATAAAAAGGCACCATAACTTATGGTATGGAATAAATTAAGATAAGTTATTTCATGAACTACAAATACATTGATTTAACTGGTACCTAATGTACCGAATGTTCTTCCTCAAGCTGCATCAAGTGCTCATTGAAGACTTTCCACCAGACTCCGGCTCCTCCACCACATATTCCTCAGCTTCCTTAAAGCCAGCTAGCTTGGCAAGAACTGTAATCTAGTTTTTCCATCTCATATTCCTTGTGGCAAATGAGTTCCTTCCAGGAATTATAGGTGTGCAAAATGACATAAAAGACATTAAATGTTCTCCAGAACTCCTTCAATGGTATCTGTCGCTAGTCAACATATTGATCCATTAGTGACCCTTGCTTGTGCATTAGCTAAAACAACAAATTGGTAATTCCAGACAGGGTTCAAATCCAGATCACTTGGGTGTTATGAAAGCCACCTAACTTCCTCATACAGCTGTACCAAATGAGGTCCTCCAGTTGTGCAAAGATAACATGTTTTACAAAGTACCCATTTTTAAAGTCCCTTACAAAAATGATACTTAAAACTGCAAAATTATCTACATTACCCAAGATTATAATCCACTCTTATACATTTTAAATATTTTATGGGAAAACAATACATACCTGAAAACGTTCTCTTAAGAGGCCAACAACAAAATGAACCTCTTTTTGTCTTAGACTTGCAAACTGTGGAGCATGATGATCTTCCAAGATACGCAAGTATGTATAGGTCACTGATGCAACAATCACGGGAAACTTGTCTAACCACGGTCTGAAAGAATTTAATATCATCATAAATATAAAAAACTTATTGTCTTATAGCATGTTAACATCTATTCTACATGAAACCTCGGCTACGTTAACTATCATATTTTTTACTTCAATCTCTCCCACTTTTACCATGTCCATCATAATGTTTGCCTCACATCATACACCACTCACCTATTTTCTCTTAGTATATCTACTAAACTCTCAGCCAACCATATATTCTTCTGTGACACATCTCCACCGGCAATTTGTCTGAGGAGGCACCAAACGACCCCTTCCACATTGTTAATGCCCGTCTTGACAAGTTCCCGCACCAGCCACAAGAGCTGTCTTCTCGTGCTTTCTGACAACCGGGAAAATCGCTCACCAATAATCTGGTGTATCAGCGTCTCAGTCACCACTTTTAGTGCATCACGGGACACTAAAGTCAGATCACGGTAGTGCTGGAATGCAATGCTACAGGTCAGATATTACACCCAATGAATAGTTATCTATGATAAAACAAAAGTCATACCTATTTGAATTTAATAATAGCATATAAACTTCAGCCGATATTTAACACTAATCCCTAATATCCAATTTTAAGAGATGGATAGATTAAATTCCAGCTAACAAATTAAGAATTATACAAAGCCTTCAATTTTTTTTTTAAATCATTATGTCCTTTCATTCAAAATTACACAGGAACTTGAATAACTGACATCCTTTCAATATATACAACTGCTATCATGCCCTACACAAAACAAACTTTGTCAATATGTTAGGCAGGGGTACAACACTAATTTAACGCCCATCATCTTTCTTTGTCCGAGTGTGAATCCTGAGCACTGTCAGTTAAGTCCAAATGGTAACTTATCTGTCCAACACATTCTAAATGAAGATGAGAAGCCTACTCAGGACACAAAGACAATAAAGTTCTAGTACAGCTGTCTACTTTAAAACGGTGAATGATAATAGACTAAGCCTTATGCAGATAATGCAGTAAAAAAAGCAACTTTAAGGGGTCATCTCCAGTTCTTGGGGGGTTAGTCAAAATAAATTATGTATAAGTGGTTATAGTGACTTGTAATTTATTAATCATTTTTTCATAGCAATATGCAAACTGACACTAATCATGAGCAATAACTTGTCAAATTTATTAATTCTTTGGGTAGCAAGGACATGCATATGCAGTAGAGTAAAAAAAATTCTGCAGTTACTATAAGGTGTATGGTAGATAAATCTGATTCTATATACTGGAGACCAGGCTGTACAGGCTATGTATTTCATGCCTAAATGTGCAAGGATTATGAAAATGCAGCATTCTAAAAATTACAAAAAGCAAAATAAAAACTAAATCTCCAAAACAGACACTGGAATAAAATCTTAAGACTGAAGATTACTTGATGAACACATTATAAATAGAACAATATTGACAAAATCAGCTGGTAACTTATTCTTAAATAGCTTTCTGAAACCTCAACAAGCTTCAAGAACAAATAATTTGTTCAGGTCAGAGGGTACCAAGACCATCATATTATAATCTCACATAGAAAAGTAATCGAGCAAAGCTATGATCCTACATATCATGAAGGTAGAATTAAAACAAATTTTTCAATACAGTATTAAAGAAAATGGGGAAAAAGAAATTTAGGTGTGGTGGCCTGTGTAACAATGGCTTTACACTATTTATGTATACATACTAGAATTTATAGAACTATTTACACTGCATAAAGTAAGAAAATAATTTACAATTAACATGAACAATAACCAAGATATTGTTTAATGAATATCATTACCCAGTAATATTGGAGTTTGGGATGCACTAGTTTCCAGTTTGTGTCATGCATAAATGGGCAATGATTATGAAGACAAAAGTATTTTCTAGAAGAAAAAATGTAAGACAAATATTTTTTCTAATATTATTTAAACTGAATAAGGTTTTACATTCAAGGTTATCTTATAGCATTTTATAAAGTAGGAAAATGTACGTAAAATTGAATGACAACAGTTACTAATATGGTAGTAAGAATGCACCTGGAGACAACCCTCTTAATGTGTTGTACAAAATTTATTAAAAAATACATGAAGCATTCAAATTTATCTTAAGGTACATAAAATTACATGCTGAAAATATGGGAACAACCTGCACAGCACAATTAGGTAATGTTCACTCTTACAATTAGCAGGTGAAGGATTAAGCCTCCTCTATTCCTAGAGCAGAATGGCCCACACCACTCAAGCACTTCATATAGCAACCCATCCTCCTCCAATCTAAGTCAATTTTGCACATGCCACTTTAAAAAAAATTCTTGGTTTGTTATTTAGTTTAAGCTTGATTAGATTGTTGTCTTTTAATACAACTAAGCAATTATGACATACCACAATGCCAATATCATACAGTGGTAATAAAAAATTGTTAAAGAGTAAAAAATAACGACCCACTACAATAATGTACACAGATAATTGCTTTTTAAGGCTCATATAAATCAATCGTCTGACTGTCTTAACCAGTGAAATACTGACTTTGGTTAGGTGATGGGCTGCACATAGACAAACAGGCACAAAAAATATAGGAATAGCATTCACATGCATTTTACATACATGTATTTGATATATATTGTTCTTACCCGTGATGCTTTGGATTGATCAGCAAGGATGCTGACTAGCAGGCCCAAGCAGAGTTCATCATGAACTTTACGATCATCAAAAGCTTTGTTTAATGCATGATGTGACTCTTCTTCATTCAAGTCACGAGTCAAGTTCATCACATTGTTGTAGGCTTTGTCATACTTCTAGAAACAGAAAAAAATTACATTTAATATTTTAAATAATTACCCTCTTGCAGAAAATACATTGTATGGTTTATATAAACTTTATAAATTAACATGTAGATTATACCATTTACCATTTTCCTCTGCAAAATAAGATTATTTTTACTGTAAAAAAATTACAGCTGTCAAGTATCTTGCTAAAAATATCAAATAGAAATTAAAGTACCAGTAAATTTTTCAACTTAATCATAATTAAATTATCAATACTCAAAAGCACAACTCTTGTCATTTCTGTCATTACAATTTTCAACGTATCGAGTTTGGCAAAGTTTGTCTTCCATCACTAGTAAACTAAATTTTCACAACTAATGCATACAGAATATTTATACACAAACATAAGACACCATCCTTATATTACATGTAAAATAATGGCATCTGTTATTACTGAATATTAGTAAAGATACCTGCTGAACAATCCTTAATATGTACAAATATGACAAACTATATCTGTTAATGGTTCCAAGGGGTCATCGCTCATGCAGTCCAGTCTCAGACCAGGCCTCCTAACTTATGAAGAATATATTATCCTATACGTACAGAACTAAGAACTATTAAGAAAAACAGGAACGTAAATATAAGTATACAATGAATTCATCAATAAGACTGTATTTCACCAATTATATTGATGTGTACATGCACTTATGTGCATGTACACATCAATATAATTACATAGATGAAAAGGTTCACCATAATGTGCTGTTCACTCTTAACCCTTTGAGGGTCGACAGGCCCTCTCAGAAACTCGTTCTCAGGGTCGGCCAAATTTAAAAAAAAAAAATTATTTTTTCTTATGAAAAGATAGAGAATCTTTTCCCGATCATGATGACACCAAAATTATGTGATTTGATGGAAAACTTACGGAATTATGCTCTCGCGAAGTTAGCGGTCACTGTGATGTTTACGCATCGGCGATTTTGCCCAATTTGAGCCCCATTTTCGGCCAATTCCTCTGTACTAGTCGACAAAAAACATGAATATTTCGCTAGAACTACATTTTTTCTATTGAATGAGTGCAAGAAACCACCCATTTACCATTTTCAACTATCCAATACAGTGGTCAGAATTTAGCAATTTTGCCAATTTCACACAAATTTAAAAAAATGCCAATTTCCGAATAGGGTCCAGAACAAACAAGAAATACATTCCTGGCACTAAAATGACATTTCTTCTGTTCATTAGTCACGTCTCAAGGCCCCTCTTACATTCTTTTGCTTTCCACTTTGAATTTTTATTCTCACGAAAAATAGAAGATTTACTGTTATGCAGACTACTGCATTAGTGTAAAAAATGATATAAATCATATTGGCGCACTTGCAAAAGAATGTTAGACTCACCAGTTGACGTGTATTGGACGCTTGGCATGATTTGTTTACTTTTGAACTTTGGTAAAAATCGAACATTTCTCCTACTTTGAGCTCAATTTCAAGGTACTTTTCATTGTAAAACCAGTGAAAATCATCTCAATTTCTGTGATATGCATTCAATTCTATAAAATGAGACCAAGAAAACTAGAATACAACAATAAATACCATACGAAAATACAGAGCAAAGTCGCTGTTTTATGCCAAAAAAACGGTGAAAGTTTTTTTTTTCATTATGCACTGTGTGCTGCAGGATTTTTTTATACTGTGCACACTGACCACATAGACCCATTCTTTCATATGGAGGCCTACCAGCCTTTTCCCGCGAGATTTGACGGCGCTAGAATTTGTGTGTACTAGTACGTCAAAAACCCCTGCGTGTAAGACGTACTAGTACGTCCGAAACCCTCAAAGGGTTAAGCCCAGTTAAACATTACTGGTTCTGGGAACTAACTGAAGGGTCATTACATGGACACACCGTAAGAGACCTCAAAAAATAAATACTAGCTTCAAGACTAAAGTGATCTTGTTATTCTGAACCCAATGGATTTAAATCCTTTTGTCCTGTTTGTGTACAACATAAAAAACTACTGTATATATAAAATAAAAAAAAAATCTAAATACAATTTACTAATATGTATTGTAACTTCTTTGTACAAAACTATTTAACGCACTTTTCTGGCATAAAAACGCGTTTATTAATGAATAATAGTTGTATCATGCACACAAAATGAATATAAGCAAGCAAATTTGTTAACAATGAAACTATACATTTACACAGTTAAGTATTAGGTACATATGTGAAAAAGAAAATACTTATGAGGTATTTACAACAAACAGCTCACAGCTTAAGAAAAAGCACTGCTGCATACTGTACCTAGTGATGTGCCACAAAATACTATACTATGTGCAGTCACTTAGAGAAGAAATATTTATGTTAACAGCATTATTACGAAGCAGAAGAGGCACAAAAGCAAAGGAATTATATTTTAGGATGTCTTTTGAAGTCCATAATATGCCCAACATTTTTCCAAATTTGTGGAGTTATTTTCATGCTCTAACTGCTCCACAGCCACAATGCAAATGTGCTTTGTTTAACTCATTCCTATAGCTATTTCCAATTTATTTTTTTTAAAATTGAACTGAGGCAAAACAACTGCAAAACAGTAGTTACCTATTTAAAAATTAAATAATAATCAGTAAATAAATAAATAAATAAATAAATAAATTATATATATATATATATATATATATATATATATATATATATATATATATTATATATATATATATATTTTTTTTTTCAACAAGTCGGTCGTCTCCCACCGAGGCAGGGTGACCCAAAAAATAAAAGAAAATCCCCAAAAAGAAAATACTTTCATCATCATTCAACACTTTCACCACACTCACACATTATCACTGCTTTTGCAGAGGTGCTCAAAATACAACAGTTTAGAAGCATATACGTATAAAGATACACAACATATCCCTCCAAACTGCCAATATCCCAAACCACTCCTTTAAAGTGCAGGCATTGTACTTCCCATTTCCAGGACTCAAGTCCGACTATATGAAAATAACTGGTTTCCCTGAATCCCTTCACTAAATATTACCCTGCTCACACTCCAACAGATCGTCAGGTCCCAAGTATCATTTGTCTCCCTTCACTCCTATCTAACACGCTCATGCACGCTTGCTGGAAGTCCAAGCCCCTCGCCCACAAAACCTCCTTTACCCCCTCTTTCCAACCCTTTCGAGGACGACCCCTACCCTCTTTCCTTCCCCTATAGATTTATATGCTTTCCATGTCATTCTACTTTGATCCATTCTCTCTAAATGACCAAACCACCTCAACAACCCCTCTTCTGCCCTCTGACTAATGCTTTTATTAACTCCACACCTTCTCCTAATTTCCACACTCCGAATTTTCTGCATAATATTTACACCACACATTGCCCTTAGACAGGACATCTCCACTGCCTCCAACCGTCTCCTCGCTGCTGCATTTACCACCCAAGGTTCACATCCATATAAGAGTGTTGGTACTACTATACTTTCATACATTCCCTTCTTTGCCTCCATAGATAATGTTTTTTGACTCCACATATACCTCAACGCACCACTCGCCTTTTTTCCCTCATCAATTCTATGATTAACCTCATCCTTCATAAATCCATCCGCCGACACGTCAACTCCCAAGTATCTGAAAACATTCACTTCTTCCATACTCCTCCTCCCCAATTTGATTATATATATATATATATATATATATATATATATATATATATATATATATATATATATATATATATACAGTGGACCCCCGGTTAACGAACTTTTTTCATTCCAGTAGTATGTTCAGGTGCCAGTACTGGCCGAATTTTTTCCCATAAGGAATATTGTGAAGTAGATTAGTCCATTTCAGACCCCCAAACATACACGTACAAACGCACTTACATAAATACACTTACATAATTGGTCGCATTTGGAGGTGATCGTTAAGCGGGGGTCCACTGTATATATATATATATATATATATATATATATATATATATATATATATATATATATATATATATATACACTAATATATATATATATATATATATATATATATATATATATATATATATATATATATATATATATATATATATATATATATATATATATATATCTAGGTAGTAGGTTGGTAGACAGCAACCGCCCAGGGAGGTACTACCGTCCTGCCAAGTGAGTGTAAAACGAAAGCCTGTAATTGTTTTACATGATGGTAGGATTGCTGGTGTCCTTTTTTTCTGTCTCATAAACATGCAAGATTTCAGGTACGTCTTGCTACTTCTACTTACACTTAGGTCACACTACACATGCATGTACAAGCATATATATGTATATATACACATCCCACTGGGTTTTCTTCTATTTTCTTTCTAGTTCTTGTTGTTGTTTATTTCCTCTTATCTCCATGGGGAAGTGGAACAGAATTCTTCCTCCGTAAGCCATGTGTGTTGTAAGAGGCGACTAAAATGCCAGGAGCAAGGGGCTAGTAACCCCTTCTCCCGTATAAATTACTAAATTTAAAAAGAGAAACTTTCGTTTTTCTTTTTGGGCCACCCTGCCTTGGTGGGATACGGCCGGTTTGTTGAAAAAAAAAAAAAATATATATATATATATATATATATATATATATATATATATATATTATATATATATATATTATTTTTTATTTTATTATCACACTGGCCGATTCCACCAAGGCAGGGTGGCCCGAAAAAGAAAAACTTTCACCATCATTCACTCCATCACTGTCTTGCCAGAAGGGTGCTTTACACTACAGTTTTTAAACTGCAACATTAACACCCCTCCTTCAGAGTGCAGGCACTGTACTTCCATCTCCAGGACTCAAGTCCGGCCTGCCGGTTTCCCTGAATCCCTTCATAAATGTTACTTTGCTCACACTCCAACAGCACGTCAAGTATTAAAAACCATTTGTCTCCATTCACTCCTATCAAACACGCTCACGCATGCCTGCTGGAAGTCGAAGCCCCTCGCACACAAAACCTCCTGGCAATATATATATATATATATATATATATATATATATATATATATATATATATATATATATATATATATATATATATTTTTTTTTTTTTTTTTTTTTTTTTTTTTTTTTTCAACAAGTCGGCCGTCTCCCACCGAGGCAGGGTGACCCAAAAAAGAAAGAAAATCCCCAAAAAGAAAATACTTTCATCATCATTCAACACTTTCACCACACTCGCACATTATCACTGTTTTTGCAGAGGTGCTCAGAATACAACAGTCTAGAAGCATAAACATATAAAGATACACAACATATCCCTCCAAACTGCCAATATCCCAAACCCCTCCTTTAAAGTGCAGGCATTGTACTTCCCATTTCCAGGACTCAAGTCCGACTATATGAAAATAACCGGTTTCCCTGAATCCCTTCACTAAATATTACCCTGCTCACACTCCAACAGATCGTCAGGTCCCAAGTACCATTCGTCTCCATTCACTCCTATCTAACACGCTCACGCACGCTTGCTGGAAGTCCAAGCCCCTTACCCACAAAACCTCCTTTACCCCCTCTCTCCATATATATATATTTATATATATATTTATTTATTTTCAGCCTTTTATAAATAAAAATCATGGCCAAGCAGTGCCTTAGTTTTCAAAGCAGATGTGTAAATATGCAACCTGCCTCAATGGAAATATGTCACTTTTTCTGACTTTTGGATTATCCTGGGTAATTTACACTATGTACAATAATTGTAATTACGTGTACCTGTGCCTAAATAAACTTATTTACTTACACATCACATGTGGCATAACAAGCATATTGTTTCCAACAAATTAAGAAACTGAGGTGTATCTGCTATTGCCAGACATTTCCCTCCTGCTTAATTTTTTATTGGCAGTTAACTTTGTGTAAATTTAGGGTAACTGAGTTTAAAAGTAACCAAATGTAAAGCTCTTAATTTCATAAGTTGCTTATAATTGTTAGAAATTACAGCACATAAAAGCACCAGGTTGACATATGTCATGTGAATGATGAAACAAAACTGGGGTTATATGCCTATAAATATCATTTCAGAAAAAAAATGAAGTCAGCCAACAATCACTTTTAACAGCCAATTCGATACAAACTTCACTTTAAAATTCTAAACCTCAAAATTACTCTTCCACACACTTGTACTACATTCCAACACCCAGTTAGCTATCATGAAAACTTGTGCTACTTTAGAAATAACTCATACTTACCAGTTTCATAGGGCTAAACTAGCAGAAATCTTTATAATTTATCACGAATATTGCACTGGCGAAATTTATAACAGCAATTTAAATATAATTATTAAATCCCCCCGCCCCAAAAAGCTGTAAACCCATGCAGGTCATAATCTGCATAAACTCCTGTATACAACCTAATTTAGATCACTAATGATAAACACCCAACTATAATAAATGTAACTGTGTAAATTTCAAATCACTATTTCATAACCGTAATTCCCTTAGCCTGTGCTGAATGTAATCAATGACTTTAGATAAACAAGGAAAATTGCAATGTAAACACAGCAATCATGACTATCTCATGATCTTACACACTACAAAATTTTTCATTAATCAAATTTCCATTAATAAAGTACTATTACAGTTTTCTGCAGTGGATCCTTGGCAGTGGTAAGCTTCTCCATCAGCATCATTAACGAGTATTGCAAGACACGTTTGCCAGTGTAAGTTGTTCATTATAACACTTGTATGTGTACTGACAGCTACGTGTCTGCCTCAGTACATCCACTAACTACATTTATCTTCAACAGTTATGATAACTGGAAGTATGTACAAATCCATTTCCAACTGAACTTGTCCTTATTTATACCAATTTAATTAATAAAGAAATTAGTGAACACAAACTCGACATAAAGTTAGCCTTCCCTTATATAGGAAGTATAGCACTAAAACCACACACATTACAGCCGTGCCACTTGTTCTAGGGCTCTAGGAAGGTTCATATTCCCACTAAGACGCTGTAAAACGTCTCCAAGATAGCAGAGGAGAGTGAGAAGAGGAGGACAAGGTCCGTGTTGACACGATCAGCTGTTTGAGTGAGAGCAGCAGCTGCGCCATGATCATGTGTGTGTGCATCCTCGCTAACACAGCCTCGTCACCCACCACACAAAATGCTCGCCATTACCTCGTCTAGGTCGATGCGGCCTTCGATGACCGACGTGGTAAACAACCGGGATGTTACGGCTCTCTCGGTGGTCATTTTGACTGCATAATCGTCCCAATTCCGTGCGAAAATCCGGTATATATGTGACACTGAAGGTAAGACGGCCTTCACGAGAGCCGCGCAGCCATGGCGCGGTGGAATACACAGTCGGCTGAGTGGAGGCGTTGTGCGGCTCACGGACCCGTAAGTACAGGGATCATAACACACAATATCATTATGCCTTTCCTCCTGCAATCCCTGCAGTAAAAGAACACGCAAAGGCATCAGTAAATTGACCCATTAAATGCCTGTTCCATATTTGCTGTCAAATTAGTTAGTTAAGGTAGAAGAAATCTATTAAAAAAACGTCAACTTGGCACATGACTGTACCTGCAAGACCCCTACTTCAACCTTCCTTTTTCTCTCTCCTCTTTACCGTGCCAGTTACCCTGTAGTCGGAGCAGGGGGTGTATGCGCTCATTTGCTCTGCCTTCTCTTCCTTGCTTTCGCATTATTTACTCCCTTTACATCGTCCTCGCGTGCATATTTAACATTACCTAAATAACGCTCCTCTTACCACACATTTGCGAGGGCAATCGCAGAAAATTACCAAACAAAAAGCAAAATAAACATTGAAAACACTTATATTTCCAGCGTTGTACTGCATGCTGTGACTCCCGCAACGTTACCCGGGGCATATAGCTATCGTCCACTCCTTGTTTGTCCACTCACTATCATATCTCCCCTATCATCCGGCTATTTTTGAATATAATGGTTTTCAGAGAAGTTAATCCTTTGTAGTAAAGGCCTCTCTTGTCACGCAAACCATGCGGTCAACACACCATGTTAGCTTTATACTTCATATAATCTATTTAATGGGCCGGAAGCGAAATCCCGAAAAAAGGGGGACAGGTGTGCCTTTCAGCCTCGTGTTATTAATACGAATTAACATTTTGGTAAGGGAATGTGAACACTGAGAGCTATTTTAACGACTGTCTTTATGTGCACTTGAGAGCGTAAGCAAACCCGTCCCTGAAGAACACTCCAACACAATACTTGAATAAATACTCTTAGATACCTCCTTTGATTTACCTTCCATCTATGCATCATATATATATATATATATATATATATATATATATATATATATATATTATATATATACACTGATCTCTGGCTGAAGGAGACTCGAACCTACGAACCTTAGGACAAGGTACGCAGTGCTTTACCAATCTACCCACACTGGACAATACTTTGGCGTGTAGCTTGCGCTACACGTTTGATCCAAGGCAGCCAGCTTTCAGGGAGAAGGCTTACAGCTTTTCATCTCATCCCCTGCATGCATCAGCCTTACTGCCTTGGATCAAACGTGTAGCGCAAGCTACACGCCAAGGTATTGTCCAGTGTGGGTAGATTAGTAAAGCACTGCGTACCTTGTCCTAAGGTTCGTAGGTTCGAGTCTCCTTCAGCCAGAGATCAGTGTTTGTGTATATTTCGCCTGCTCTCGCGAATTCCTTGCATATATATATATATATATATATATATATATATATATATATATATATATATATAATGACTACAAATGTGTATATTTTTTTCCCAGTACACTGTATATAGTTGATTGCAAGTATGTTTAATAGCATCCCGATCTCATTTATAGCGTTGTATGACCCTTGTGGGTTTAGGGCTTAGTTATGGTTATAAAGAGATCATTTATAGAACCCCAATGGAAATAAAGTCACTTTGACCTTTTTTGGGGGGTTATCCTAGGTAATTTACACTAAGTATGATCATTGTACTCTGGTGTACTTGTGCCTCAATATACTCAGTACCTCGTCAACTCCCCGTGTGTGGCTAGCATGGTGTCTTGATTCCAGGCAGTGGAGCTACCCTCCTCTTCCTTCAATCAAACCTCAAGTCCTCTCATCCCCCGGGTGCTGTATGACCCTGAAGGGTTTAGCGCTTCCCGTTTGTTTCCGCACATTGATATGACAGGTGTCGATAAGTTTAGTTAGGTACAGGTACACATAAGTACAGTTATCATACATAGTAACATACGAGCACATTGACTAGGATGACCAAAAAAAGTCATTTACTTCCAGTGGGGTCCTTGTATTTTGTTTACCTGTTTGCAAGAATATATATATATATATATATATATATATATTATATATATATATATATATATATATATATATATATATATATATATATATATATATATATATACCTCCAGGTAACCAGGTATATATATATATATATATATATATATATATATATATATATATATATATATAGATAGATAGATAGATAGATAGATAGATATACACAAACACAGAAGGGTGGGTTGATTGTATTTTCCTGGACTGCAGGAAGACCTTCGACATAGTTCCTCACAAGAGATTAGTGCAGAAGCTGGAGGATCAGGCGCATATAACAGGAAGGGCACTGCAATGGATCAGAGAATACCTGACAGGGAGGCAACAACGAGTCATGGTACGTGATAAGGTATCACAGTGGGCACCTGTGACGAGCGGGGTCCCACAAGGGTCAGTCCTAGGACCAGTGCTATTTTTGATATATGTGAATGACATGTTAGAAGGGATAGACTCTGAAGTGTCCTTGTTCGCAGATGATGTGAAGCTATTGAGAAGAATTAAATCAGATGAGGATCAGGCAGGACTACAAAGAGACCTGGACAGACTGGACACCTGGTCCAGAAACTGGATTCTCGAATTCAACCCTACCAAATGCAAAGTCATGAAGATTGGGGAAGGGCAAAGAAGACCGCAGACAGAGTATAGGCTAGGTAGACAAAGACTGCAAACCTCACTCAAGGAGAAAGACCTTGGGGTGACCATAACACCGAGCACGTCTCCGGAGGCACACATCAACCAGATAACTGCTGCAGCATATGGGAGCCTGGCAAACCTGAGAATAGCGTTCCGATACCTTAGTAAGGAATTAGAGAAAGTACAAAGATTTGCAACAAGGCTAGTTCCTGAGCTCAGGGGAATGTCCTACGAAGAAAGGTTGAGGGAAATCGGACTGACGACACTGGAGGATAGGAGAGTCAGGGGAGACATGATAACGACATATAAAATACTGCGCGGAATAGACAAGGTGGACAAAGACGGGATGTTCCAGAGAGAGGACACAGAAACAAGGGGTCACAATTGGAAGCTGAAGACTCAGACTAGTCACAGGGATGTTAGGAAGTATTTCTTCAGTCATAGAGTCGTCAGGAAGTGGAATAGCCTAGCAAATGATGTAGTGGAGGCAGTAACCATACATAGCTTTAAGACGAGGTATGACAAATGTCAGGAAGCAGAGAGAGATAAGACCTAGTAGCGATCAATGAAGAGGCGGGGCCAGGAGCTGAGTCTCGACCCCTGCAACCACAATTAGGTGAGTACACATACATATCGTCTTTTCGGTTAAGTCTTTTTTTTAAGCATATCAGCAAATTATTAATCAGAGAAAACGGCAAATGTGAGAGAAAACGGGATGTTAGTGTGATAAGCCCGAGTGCCTCGCCGGATACATCTTTACTGTACTTACACAACTTATTTTACTTCTGCTTTATTCGCGACTTTACTGAACGTCTATTGGAGGTGCAGCGATCTATGACCCTTCTGGGTTTAGCACTTAATCTGATTATCAGAATTATTATTATTATTATTATTATTATTATTATTATTATTATTATTATTATTATTATTATTATTATTATTATTGTTGTTGTTATTGTTGTTGTTATTGTTGTTGTTATTATTATCTCTGGAGGTACCAAGGATATATACCCTGAGAGTTGTATTTCTCTCAGCGTATATATGCTGGGAGTTTTCTTTAATCCCTGTTGAAGGTATAAAAGTATTCTTGTCTGGTGATGAAAAGGTCACGGTGTATCCTTAATTAATGTAGTAGTCGATAGGCTTTAAACCCCCCCCTCGACGAGCCCACCATTCCTGGAGGTATCTGGCAGCTCCATGGTGGTGGCGTCGTCGTGTTCGGCCGACAACCAAAGCAACCCGGGTTCAATCTAGGGCGGGGATGAGACGAGTGATGCGTGGAAGTCTCTCCTGAAGGTGCGCTGTCGTGGGTGGCATCCTGGGGGCGGGATCTGAGTGCCCTCCCCCCTCCTCCCTAAAGCCACACTGACTGGCTTACTGCTAAATGGTTATAACTATGACAATAATTTTTAAAGGGGTAGACCGGTAAGCCAGCGGAAGGCCTCGGTCAGATGACCAAAAGTTCCAGCTGTGGGTCATCATATGAATAAGACCCGCGTCAGGAAACACTTGTCCTGTTTCCTGACGAATCTTACCTAACCTGACTGGCTTTCTTGGGTTATCGTGAATTAACCCACCGGAGATAATAATCCGTGTCACGCCCCCCCCTTTCCCCCATTTTTTACTCCCTCCAAAGAGTTTTGATGCCGGTGAAGGGCTCTTGTTCCAAGGAATTGGGTGGAATCCGAAGGTCTTCCATATCCCTGGCGCTGCGTGGCCCCTACCGGTATAGCGTTTTCCTTGTGAATAATAATAATTATTATTATAATTAATATAATTATTGCAAGTATAATATCATTATTGTATTATTGTGAATGATAATAATTATATCATTGTTAATACTACTAATAATAATTGGGGTCTATA